ATGAAAACGCCACTCGGAGCTCACTGAAATAGCAGATCCTGTGCGAAGAGTTTCTTTTAATCTCCAGTGTCCGTAAACGTACGTTGACAGGTGCCTGTGGTGCGACTCAGACTTATGGGACTTTCTTCTTTCCTTGCACAGACCCGGTAAACTTCCCAGCACCCCAAGGCACCTGGAACTGGCCAGATTTGTAACAGTTAATGGATGGCAGGGCTCCCACCCTGCAGAGGCAGCACAGAGGAAAGGGTGGGTGACTCTCAAAGGATACAACATGGGGCTGTAAGGGCCACAAAGAAGGGGACGCCGATATGCGCTCACAGGGGTGTGAGCAGTGCCACCGAGGTGAGGGGGATGAGTAACAGAGGGTGCAGAGCTCTGGTGTCCCCGACGAGGACAGCAGAGACAGGGGCGAAGTCGCATGGGGTCGGTGCGGTTTATGGGCTGGTTTGGTCAGGAACGGGATGGACGCGTATTTAACAGCACCAGGGACCTGGCAGATCCCCTGGCTCATCCTGCGCGATGGGGACTGAGCTGTCCCCACTGCGAGATACCGGGGACATGCATTAACGTAATTACTGGGCAAACTATCTCGTGCTGTCACTTCTGAAGTCATTTGTGTACCCTACTGTGTGAGCTGAATTGTTCCCTTGTTTCGTCTTAGTTTATTGCATCTTCTTTTACCAATTTATGTGATTCATTCCTTTATTTTGGTTATTAATTATGCATTCTTGTTCAATTTACAATAGTGCTCTCTTGCCTCAATCAGGAGTTTCACGGTGCAGCCTGCAGCAGAGCTACAGACAACGCATGCTCTGTGCCGAGCGACGGCGGATCAAACACAACATTGCGGTCCCTGGGAAACCAATTGTTCATCCCAATTCAAGACAGGAAACTGAAAATGAGGGAAACTGTTTTCAGGAAAAACAACAACAAAAAACCAAACCAAACAAAAAACCCAAAGCAAAATACTTGGCTTTTCTTGGCTCCAGCGGCTGCACTGAAAGCCTCTTACGGTCCTAAGGCGAGGAAGAGCCATCCACAGGTCAATTCCCCAAAAATACCCCCCCCCCCCCCCCCCCTATTTAGGGAATCGGTTGTTTCCCACCACTACCTTCGGCCCAGTACTTTTGTCACTCTCAGCTGTTCCCAGAGTTTTTGTTCCTGTTGCTTTATGCCAGGGTTATTGAGGATCGACAACACTGAAACCTGGTCACTAATTCACGCACGTCCTCCTGCAGCGCCTGTGCGCAGTGGGCACCAGCTGGAAATGCCACGCTGCGAGTTGCTGCTTGGCCCCTTGTTGCCCGGTGCTCATAGGAGACCTCTACCACAAACACCACGCAGACAAACTTCCTGCTGTTTCATATACGTACCACGTCTTTATACATTTCACGTGTTAAAGGCTATGCCTTCACATTAAACCCCATTTTGCACTGCTTTGAGATACTTTGAGATAGTTCCTTATACACTCCCATTTGTATACCTTGTATTACGGACTTAATGACAGTTTAAATTAGTTTGTCCTTTAGGTGATTAAAGTTACAGTGAAAAATGCTGATTTAGAGAGTGGACAAAATTTGGGTTTGAATTTTCTTTTTAATTGGGATTAGCTTTTTAAGTGGATGGATATTTTTGCCAAGAAAAACACATTTTCAGGGTTTTATCATAGAACAAATACAAAAACCTGTTTAACTCTTCCAAACAATCTAGCTGGGTTATTTGAAGAAAGCTACGACCAAAAACTCAGTTTGAGGATTTTCTGTTTTTCCGGAAGAGAAAACCAATACTTTTCCCAAACTAAAGCAACCCTCCAGGCCTATTTATCTCTTTTAGTTTTACCTTTGCTTTTATACCAACAGCCATCATGAGAGCCTTCTCTCTTCACTGAATACGTTCAATAGAAGTTTATTCTTACGGTTTTCAGAAGAAACAGACCCTTGTAAAATCCTTAATCCCATATTTTGGGAAAATTAATTCACAAATTCCATGTCAGGAAAACATTAATGGGTTTTAAATGCTATCACCACAGCAACACTCTTTAATTTGCTTCCCTTAGAGCTTAGACAACTGCCATCATTCCATCAGCAGGGCAGATTTTATGGAAATAAAAAGGGGTAAAGGAGAAATGGGGCGCCTTTCACCAGTTCCTCTGCAGCGGTGCTGACGTTAGAGACAGCCATGGTGTGTGCGCGGAACAAACACGGTTTAAGCGTATCAGCAAGGCAAGAGCGGGGCAGTCCCGCCGAGGGACGCTTGGTAAATGTTGAGGATGCCGAATGTCCCGAGCGATCCCCAGCACCGCAGACCCGCAGCCAGGGCGGGCGCTCCGCAAACAGCCTGGAAATTGGCTCTTGGCAGAAACAGCTCCCCAAAGAACTGAAGACATTTTTCAGAAAAGAGCTCCACAACTTCTCTGGGGCTGAACAATATGAAATAATAAACATTTATTTAATAAGGCACAGCTCTTTGATACTGTTTGTGCTGCATTTTAGGAAGCCCTAGACCAGTTGGAGCTCAGCTAAAGCGATTGCTTCCTGCGCAGTGTGCTGCATCGGCCATCCTGTTTTTTGTTTTTGTGGCGGAGGAGTTCAGTATTTTGAGAATTTAAAGGGGAAGCATTGGCGTTTCTGTGCTCTGGGGCACTGATGCTGGCTGCACAGGGGCTGTCCCTGCTGAGCCTCCCTGGAGGAGACAGCACGCACCAGGAGCCCTGGAGGGCCGCGGAGCTGCCGAAAGCCCCACACGCTAGGATAGGCCTGGGGCGCAGGCGGAGCACGGGGAGTCTGAGCCGTGTCCACAGGACCTGGGGATGGGACGAGCTGGGGCTGGGACAATCCCACTCCCCAGTGCCCAGGCTTTCTTGCCATCAGATTTTGCACATATACATCTCAGTTTACTTCTAGCAAACGTGGTCACCAGGACTAGAAACTGACGTTCTAATGCAACTGCAAAAGAAGACTGCATTAAGAATACCTAAATTATTCCTAATCAGGAATTCCTAATAACTACTCCTTCTTCTCTCTGTATCTCGGCAGGCAGCTCAGCCTGTGTCCAGCAGCCAGGGCTCGGTGCTGCCCGGCCAGAAACGCTGCTGCAGGCACAGGCTGTTTGTAACTGCGCAGCTGGGAGCAGAAGCTCAGACGCTGATGGAAGCTGTTGGCAGCCTCACAGCAGAGCAGGCAACTGAAGGAAGAAGTCGTATTTCTAGAAAAGGGAAAGCACTTTGATGCATCAAGTATGCAGCATCTTAACCCACTTATTTTTATTAGCCAGCCCGACCTATAACCTGCCAAGACACACGATACCACACCCCAGAAATACCACCTTTTTCTGAGCATGAACCCACATATTACCCTTCTGCCATTTTACTCATCCACGTTTCCTCAACACAAGAATATATTCCCACAATAATGTGTCAAATTTGTCATTTGGGTTATGTCCAAAACTCCCTACTCAAAATCAGAGCTGGCTGTGACTGCCCTGGCGTAGGCAGATAGGAATAAATTCTGATTTCAGCAATACTGGGGGGAGGGAAATACTTAAAAAAATCTTACCACACATACACCATCTCCAAAAATTAAATTGTTTTTTCTTAACTGTGATTGTACACTTCTGGGAAGACTGCATTAAGGATACCTAAATTATTCTGACATGCCATTTATTATACTCGGTTTTATTTCTACACAATTTGACACAAAAGTAAGTCACTTTTATAATAGGGCTTGTCATGAAAACTGCTTAGTAGGACACAAAGGAAGAAATATTACTTGGAAAAAATTCAGCAGCTGTCTGCCTTTCAGCACCAGCAGTTACAACAGGAGAGGTGCCATTATTGTGTATTTTTGTACAGATAAGGGATTACCGAAGAAACAAAACTCCATAGGAAAAGAGCATCATGCTGTTCCTTATCAAAGCCACAAAAACAAAGCAAGTGAGGAAAACAAGTTCTGCTTTGTTGAAGATAAAACACTGACATTTGGGGCTAGGAAGAGAAAAATCCAGAATTTCATATACAAGTTACCAGGTAAGTTTTAAAATGAAAAGTCAGTTTTATGTTTAATACTACTCAGGTATTGCATGACAGAACAAAACACTCTCAATACCAGAATATGATTTATGTGTTACCCTTATTGGCACTATTACCTAAGTGCACCACCATGCCATTTATTCAGTAACTTACAAGTGTTAATAAAGCCCCAAAACATCTTTTTGTTAGGTTTGTTTTATAGCTAGGAAGGTAAAGGCAGAGCAGTGAACATGAATTCTAGAAACATGCAGAGTACCTAAAAGTCAGGCCATTAGGGTTTTCTGTCCCTGCACCCCAAAGGAGGAAGTTTCAAGTTCAGGGGAAAAAGCTCCAAGTTTGACCCTTTCTTGTCTACTTTTGCCAGATCACGTCTGGACAACTTCCCCTGGGCACGAGTCTGCCTGCTCCAAGCCACAGGCTGCGTCCTTACCAACGCCGATAACAACAGCTCGCGTGGCTGCGAAGAGAGGGCGCTGACGGGGATTAAAATAAAGAAGCAAAAAAAATGAACAAACAGGAGGGGGGAAGCGGGTTCAGGAGTGGTGCCAGGTCAGAGAAGCACCTCAGCGTGTGGAGGCGAGCCGTGAGCTGCTTCAGCACACGGCAGTCGCCGTCTTCCCGACAAGCAGCATTTATCTAAGACAGCGAATACGCCATTACAGGACTAACCAGCAGCCACAAGCTTTACTCATTACTTGTACAGTTTATTTAGACAAGAGAAAAGCTCGCTCAGTTTGTAATTGTATACAGAAATGAAAACATCTGAAATATATTAGATTTCCCCCCGCCGTATATTTAACTTTGTACTTTGTTCTTGGAAAAGTGACTGTTTTTAGGATTCCCGTTTCAGCAGTACATAGGCTCCCATTACTGCCAGAAGAGCGTACTGCAAAAGAAAGTACAGAATAAAGACCGATTATAATCTCTCCTCATGGCAGCTCTGAAATTACAAATTGTTCAGACATTACACCTCACAGACAAGTACACAGTTAGCAGTGTTCCTACAGAACTCCAGCAATAACTTAATGTGATCATACTCATTACGAATTGGCATCACAACTGTACACACAACTTACATTAGAGAAAAAAAATCATCTTACTACACAATTCTTAGAAATTAAGTGTTTTCAAAGTATTACAAATACTACATTTTACTGGATAACAGACAAACTAAAATAAGCCAGAAAACATAGCTCATTTTACATGAGGTACCCAACCACGGAAACAAATTTATTAACATGTGTTCTCATAAGCAAGATTCTTACTACCTTTACTTGCTATTCTTTAGTTTTAAATTGAAGTATTTGAAATGTCTGTACACATACCTTGAATTTTGGATAGTCGTTCATTATTATAGTTACCATACCAACATAAGGCAGAAATCTGTAGTTGACAAAACAGATGAATGGAAAATTAACTCAAATACGACATGGAAATGCTTCAATGTTCCTCAGTCTTGAGTATTTTAGATAATGGATTTCAGAGAAAAAAATTCAGACAGACAGCAAAAGCTTTAAGGACAGTATGTACTCAGTGAAAATCTGGGAGCAAGATCTCTCCGATTTCCCTTTCATCTTGCTGTGTATCAGTTACAGCATTACAAGTGCACATGGATACCAGAAATGGCAAGTAAATATCACCATAACGAGGAGTACCCACAAAAGCCCAACATCCTACAACACAGGGGAATCAGCTTTTCAGGGTGTCCTGTTGCTTCGCAGCCATAAAAGCCATGAATCTAATAGAAAGCGTTTAAATACAGAAAGTACTTTAAACTGGCATTTAACCTAGTCTACCAGCACTCAAGGTTTAGAGGGGCACTCGTTCTGTTTCTTTTAATTGAAGGCAGGGACAGAATCTAAAAAAAATAATTTAAAAAAATCAAGCAAATAAATATTCCTGCAGAAAAGTATTTTGTTCTGTTATGCAAATTAACCCTGCATTAATGATAACTCAAAGAACTCTTCAATTACACAAGAAAACACCCAAGTACGTAACGCTGTACAAGATCCTGCTGCTTTCCACCAGGCCTGGCCTGGGACTGGGCAAAGCCGAGCTCAGGTGAAGCCTCGCGCGGCCCAGGGCTCTCACAGCCCCAGCAACGCTTTGCCACAGGCTCCCAGCAAAGGCATCCCAAACAAACCCGCTGTAAGGCAGGGATGTACTGCACGCCTGAATAAAAAACAGACTTCAGATTTTCTCAGAGATAAAAATGTAATCAAGAGATTTCATTTGAGCTGGGGAAGGGTACAAAGTCAAAAGCTCAAACCTCACATAAATGTCCTGTTGAATGTGGAGACAATTTCCTTGTAATTTCTAGCAGTGACAAGGATAAGTTGGTTGATTTTGTATTTACTGGTGAATTATTTCTCAAATGTGCCATGTTTTCAAAAAAATCAATTTCCACTCTCCACATCGGTGAGAGGACTACAGAAAACAACTTTTCCAGGTAACGTTGCTTTTTTAATTACTATTTTATTTAAGAAATTAAAAAAAAATACGATACCAGATCTAGTTTGTACCAACAGCGGAACTGAGGCGAATTTTGAATTTTCTGTTTTAGTTACAAAGAACGTGGACGTTTTGCTTTACTCACCCTCTCGCTCTTCCAACAACATCCTTCTTCTCTAACCAGTTCTGACCTTCTTTGTACAAGCCTCTATCATCAACTTCATTATTATCACCTTTTGTCAGAAATTTGATGTTCCCATTTTCTCTAGAAGGCAACGAGGTGATAAACTAAGTAACCACTTAATTAAAAAGCCTCAATTAACATCTAGAAAGCACAATGAAGATGACAAGTGCTACAAGATTAGATAACAATGTTTACTTCCAGCCCTGCCTGTCCTGCTTATTTAACAAACACCGCTAAACCATGAACATTACAGACTTCACAGAGTCAACAGATTTTAGCTAGAAATGTTTGTTTAAAACACTCCTAGATTGTCATTTGATGCAGGCAATTACGCAATGAACACGAAAGGGATATTGTCCATCCAGAGCCCGCACTAAACTTCCTCAGCAAAAGCAGTATGTGCTTATCTGGTGAAAAAAAACCCCCCAGAAAACAACCAAACCCAACCCTCTGCATTTTCAACAGAACAGAAATTTAACTCTGAATTAATGATTAATGCCCTACTAAGAGGGATGACTTTGTATTTTTACAAACTGAGGAATAAGATCCTGTGAAGTCATCTGTTAGAAAACCCGCCCTGATCAGCATTAGGCACATGTGCCCGTAACACGTGCGAGACTCCGGTTCAACACTCCCATTTCAATGAGGTTATTGAGCCTACAGTCTTCAAAATGGCTTTGCTCAAGAAGCTGCTCACTGAAAATGATGATATCAAGAAACGAGGAGTTTTTATAAAGACAGATTAGGTATTACAAAAAAAAAAAAAAGATGTAACTCTTGGATATACAGATGTTTCAAAAATGCTTTGAAGAAAATGTATTACTCAGAAGATAATTCAGTCCATGGCCAGGACCTCATAAGGAGCAAATATGTCAGCTCTTGCCACCTCCAGATTAGATTTCTGCTGGGCAGAATCAGAAACAGAATTGCTCTCTTTATCATACCAAGCATATGCAACAGAGGTGAAAACAAGCGATCTACCTGCTGCTTTTCA